TATTGTGTAGGATTTAGCCATATTTTACTTAATTTAACCCATCTTTGAAATTTTACCCCACGTGAGATTGGGTGAAATTCGGCTCGACCTCCTTCTCCTCTCCCTAAACACCTCACATAATTAATGGACGCCCCCAAAGTCCGTTGAACATAGCCCTCTCCCATAAATTGCCTCATAGCGAGATATTAGCCACAGGTGCCACGCTTGGCAGATGGGTTGGAAACTAAAGTTCTTTATAATTTTGAGTTGTTATCAGGAGCTGCTGCTGCTGAGGATCTAATGTTTCAATTTCATCTGTCGCCTCTTACTATACCACCTGCATGATGTGAGATAGTTAGTAGATTCTCTTAATCCGTCATTACACGGTCAAAGTAGGTACTAACTTAAAAAAACTGTGTTATTTTGGAATCTAGATTAGTATTAATATAGATCAATGAGTTTTGCGTACTTAACTTTACACATCAGCATCCCAGAACAAGTCGACATCACTAATTATAAGCAAATAATACGTAAATAATGTAAATCAATAGACTGCGATAATTTAATCGGGGACAACAGCTTACCATTCATCAAACGATAAAGTCAGACATTTTATTGAAGCATTCATTAATGTAATTGCTGAGAAAATCTACGGACCAGTTTCCGGTTCGTTTAACATTGGAATTTCCAATTTCACAATACTGAGCCCTGGAGATTTTAAAATCGAGAAAATTATTTTTAAGAGCGTGATTTTAGAGTGTATTAATATTGATACGTTTGAGGGCACGATTATCTAATAGCTAACCGTTCAGCTGCGGTGCTGCAAGCCGCGGGGTGTAATCCCCGCACTATATAACTATTTCAAAATAATATCTTAGTCCGTAAAAAAATATAATCCGGAACAGTTACTAGTAATTGTTCCGGATTAATTGTTTTGTCTATATATAATTTATGTGTGTAAAACAACTTCACGATACAGAAGAATTAAAGTACACTCCTAGTGGAGTGTAATTTATTTCTTCATAAAAATTTAACAGTATTGTATGACAAAAAGCTTGATTTGAATTCAATGGAATGAATATTTGTTTTTATTTTATTTTATTTAAAATGAATAACTAAGACAGTTAAGCGCTTGATGTAAATTTCACAGTACGCAAGCAAACCGGGCTCGATCCCCGCCGGCACCAATAAAAGAGAACATCAAGACAAGAAAAACTAATATTAGACAAAGAATACAAACTATATCTTTTAGAAGCAGTGCCAACGTCTCGGGTGAGATTTAGTAATTTATTTCTAAAGTATATTACAACAAAACTATTAACGAAGCAACAGCAATAACCGAATGTAAAAACAGTATTAAGCTAAATAAAGTAGATACGCGATAAACTTCTTAACTAATGTTTTATCGCTTATCACATCCATATAATCCTCTACACGTTACGCATGTCCTGCGCACACACTAGCGACGACAGTGTTATACACACGTTATCTGCAGCGTGCTATTTATAACTTTAATCGAGCTATTAGCTTAATTTCCACTAATGACCGCAAACGACGGTGTACTTATACTCGTATATAATGTCATTGCCTACGACGTTTTGCCCGCTCCTAGAAACTGCTAAAGGTTTTTTTTTCGTATAATGCAGTTTTACATTTCACGTTAGACGGTTATTTAATTAGTATTTTATCGTCTTCAAAAGTAGGAGGTGCTCAATAATATAGCATTGTTTCGTATGATCCTACACCATACATATACATAGGCTATACCATAAGGTTTTAATTTTAAAAGTTCAAATATGGCCAAAAATTGTATGAACCTGTGCCCCAGAGTATACAGAGATGAAATCTATGTCATTTGAAAGTACAGATCCTCTTTAAAAAGAATTATAAAAGTGCATGTAGCTACGCAGTAGTGACAAAAGTTATGAAGATTTAAAAAAGTTGATTTTGGCAGTTAGTTTTTATCATTATGACACAATGTAGATATTATTAAGTTCCAATTCATGAGTGTTATGTAGGTTAATGTATATTCATGATGATTAGGACGTATCCTAACTCGTTACAACAAGGACAGCAGTTTTTTTCAGTCTTTGAAATTATTATTTGTAACTATTTTTGGTAACATAATTATATTAATACTATTATTGATCGAAGTATATTAGACAGAAAATAATTAAACTTATGTATTACACCGTTTATAATTAGTGGAGCACTTGCGTGGGGCTACGATACTTATTAAATAAAAGTAAAATACGATAAAACACAAATACGAAGGAAAAGCGTAGCGAGAAACGGCGCGTAAGTTGGTAAACGTGAATCAGATTATCAGATCAAGTCTGACATTGACACTGACTGTTTTGTTGGTTGACGGACGGATTCAGTGTTGCAAGTACTACCTATCCTATAATGTAACGCTACATGTTTAAGCTGTTGCTGTATTAAACAAATAAATAAAATCCTATCCTTTAGTGTATTTTGATTATTTTGATGTATTAATTCATTAATAGAAGGCTTGTTTTTATACATAACACATCATAAATAAAGTATTGTTTATGAGTTTAGCTATTGTTTTTCCCTACTCTGATTTTTTTAAGTATTATACGCCCACATTAAAGGTGCTATAGAGTGACTCCAAATAGAAGAAATCACTTTAAATGATTTTAAGCTTGATTAGTTTTTCAACAGCTGCTATGCAATGTTAATAGTTATTCAAAATTCTTTTTTTGTTCTACTTAAATTAATAGCAATAGTCTTATTTTTGTACAGCTTGGGGCACATTTTGGCCATCTCATTTAGTGAAGATGTTTCACCCTAAGGATGAAATTTTAATGTGACTAATTAGATTTCTAGTTGCTACTTTAAGATTAAATCAACTCAAAAACTTAAAAAAAAAGTAAAAATCGACTTCATAGGACTAAAAGGAATTAAATAATTTCTACATAATTTAAATATACTCTTCGGTCGGGACATCATTCCTCGGTACACTATGTACTTATTACGTAATATATGACCTATGTCTTACCCCTACCACTAACACCAACACCTCAGATGAAGGCCAGTAACAACGAATAATTTTGAACATTAATTTTGCTACGACACGATTTTGAAGTGACGTTATTTGCGTGCGTTGATTCACAAATTATGAGACAACGTAATGACATAACGTGAATAACGTGATTACTCGAAATATAAAGACTTCGTATCTGAACTTTGTTTATATTTAGTGTACACTGTGAAATGCGTTGTACTAGATGCTAGATTCGGCGATTATGCGTATGTATATCTTAGTCCTCGTGGATGACCAATCATATTCATATTGATTCCTGATCGAGGATAAATTCTGTACATGTTAGAATCACGCTACATTAATTTAAGGCTCCAGCACAGGTGGATCAGCTCAATCCGGGAAGTAGAGTGAAGATTGCTGTGGTGTGCGTGACACGACGAGGCATGTTATCCTAACCGTCAGGAGTGACAATGCATCTGGAGTCCGAATCTTAATCGAGGATAGATATAAATTCCATCGGGCATACCATCCCCTCAAAAATTTTACGGTATTTAATTCTTAATAATTCTTTTGAAAAGTAATTTAAATGATAATTATGACGTTCTTCTGGTTCGAACAAGGCAACTTTCTAATACCTAATACTGTTGCGAGACCTATTTGTAAAATTGAATTTCGCATTGAAGGAAAATAATATTATTCAATATTCAATAGAAAATCATTCAACTAACTTAAGCCTTACATACATTTGAATATTTAAATAAACTTTCCTCCACGCTAGGAATTTCTCAAATAATGTTGGGGCGTTTACATACATAAATTACACTTAAGGCAGGCTACAAGTCAAAAGAAGTATTTCCAAACGCTTACGAGTGAGGGTATAAAAACATAAGTATTTATGAACCGTAAAAAATATTGTAGGTAGAGAACAACCTGTTGCACTGGAGTGACGGAACATAATTTGAAAAAAAAAACAGTCTTAGATGAAAACCAGCATCATATATAATCTTCGAACTCAAAGCCGCCATTATCATCAAGTGTGATATGCGATTTTCAACTCAAAACTCGCTTTGGGTAGAAAATAAACCGCGGTAACCAATTTAGAAATAACAAAAGTATACCTGCCAAATTAAATATAACCATGAATGATATAGCGGTCGAAGAAGTAATGAACATAAATTTTCTAGGAGTCGAAATAGATAACATATCGCAAAAATAAATAAAAAGATATCCAGTGCATGTTACGCATTGTCCATCCTGGCTACAAATATAAGTGTTACTAGAAATGCCTATTTTGGAAGCGTTTATCCACTCCTAATTTACGGTATCATATGGGTGTTTCGCGTATTTCGTGCAAATTCCACGACATTTGTAAATGTCAAATTTATTGCCGAATAACTTTGTTTTTTTCCCCAATATCTTTAATATCCATAAAATCCTTCAACTTTTTGTGGTTTCTACCTTCCTTGTATAGATAACAATAAAATTACTATCATATCAAAAATCGTAATGAAACGGTAATGAGAACGTCAAGGAGGGGAATGATATTGAGTCGTTAAGTTAAAGGATAGGGATGATGAGCGATTTTCATCGTAGACGTTGCAACATAAGCTTTCGAAAACACCCGTCCTGTTAGATTATTTTAGTATTTTATTTGTATTAAGACATTTTATCAACAAATCGACATTAATATGAACTTTGCAAGCACACGTATTTCTACTGGACTCCTTTGGGTATAAAACCCAAAATGGGCGATATTTACAAAATCTTGGTACTTTACTTTGACATTCGAATTATCCGTAAATTTTTTGTACAAATTAGTCAATGTGTCCATTAAGTATCTTTTCTGCTTCGTTATTTGGTTTTTAGTTATATATTCTTTTTTATCAGCTGCAATTCTAGTCAAAATCTCCAAAATTAGTTGCTCTTTCAAGTTTTCATTTTTAGCTGTCTTGTTTTCTTTATCTCTTACTGTAAATATTTTTGTTTGTGTCAAGAGTTTATACTTTTTAAACTTTTATTTTTCCGTCATAACCACATTAAAGAATTCGTTCTTAACCTTTTTCCTCAAGCACTTGTACCCTTCTCCAAAACTTCTTGAAAGTATTTCACCAAACATTAGTCGCTCTTTAATTTCTTCACGATTTTCTGTATTAATATTTTCTACTAATTGTTCTACTTTTTCTTCAACCGATATATTTTCATTTTTCTTCTTATTTTTCATTATTCTATACATCATTTTTCTAATGCCATCTTCCTGTTTCTTCGTTTCTTCTATTTCTTGTTTAAAAATGCCTATTTCTTTTTTATGTAGGTAGCGAACCTTTCTCTGAAGAATATTTTCTTTAGGACCCTTGACAAGAAATACTATTACCGTAATCCAAACGATTTCAATATAAATTAGGTATGAGGCTTAGAGCTGATTGAGTGAGAGAATCTTGTTCAGCTGGATGTTCTTCATTGTCACTATTTGGTGGAGAATTATCTATTAACAACTGTTGAATAGCTTTTTCTTTCTCTTTTCTTTCATAATGACGTTTTGAATTAACTTTTCACTTCTTCCTCTGAACTCTCAATTGTCTAGGTGTTATATCTTTTTGCGCTACTTATTTTTTCTGTTCTTTCCTTTTAAGGTATCTTGCTCTCTCTTTTGCCTTCAGAACTGTATAATTTCTTCACGATCTTTCTTAATTTCTGCATACTTTCTTTGTTTTTGTAATCGATCGCACTCTCGTTTCTGCTCTAATGTTTGTCTGGCTTTCTTAGTTATTATTAGTTCTTAATAATCTGTAACTACACATTATATGATATTGCTCGTATTCATCATATCAAGTATCCAATAACTAAAGTAATAAAAAGTACACTCACAGGGTTAGCTTGTGAGTGTACTTTTACAATTTATAAACAAACTTAAAACTACATCAAGAAACAAAGTAAAAACTATTAATTCTTTATTTTATTATGAATTAAAGTATTATTATAACTGTATCGTAGTAGTATTATTGTGGAAAAATATCTCAACTACGGGTGGGACTAGAACTCGCGACCACACGGATTGCTATGTAATAATGCACTGTAATAAATAATAATAAATTGACGTAAAATTGATTCTAATTGTCATCGTTTTGACCTCATCACCATCGCTAAAAAAACGACGGTAAACGAAGGTAGTGGGGACGTAGGTAATGAGGTTTTTATTCTTATCCAATTGTTTCGTAAAAAATATCAAAATTAGGAATCTCGTGCTTATTTTAAATTATGGCGGTAATCACTAGAATTGATAATTAAATAGGTACATATTAAACAAAATCATTAATACTTACTTAATAATATGGACGACATTCCAGAATAATCACCCGCGAAACTTTACACGTAAATATTTTTTTCCACGAACAAGCGTGAACCTTCTACGATGTTTGTTGCCTGGCTGAGACTTGTGCGGGGCGCGGCATGGTGGTATAGTGACATTCACGCCAATACGCGGACTATAATTTAGATTTTCACTAAAACCGATGGTAATCAGAAATTTTTTTTGATAAACATTTATGAAATAAAATTTCTTTATATTGTTGGGTTATCCTTATTTATTTTAAGTGTAAACGTTGTGATTTTCAATAAAGTTTCATAATATGGTTATTTTTTATTATTGTTTATATTTTTGGTTAAAAATACAATTTTTTTTAGGAGAGTAGTAAATGGACACCGAAGATAATGAGAATTATTGAAGTTTTTTATTTATCATTAACTTATTACGTTATTTTTACCTGAAAATATTACATGCATGTAAGCATAACCTTTTTACATTTGTTTTCCTTAATAAGAAATGTAGATATTTAATAAAAAAATGAAGACTTTTCTCCTGGACGTGTAATGTGCCCGAAAAATGAGAAACACCCATATACTGGTGAAATTCAACAGATATACAATCCACATTCGTTCTCCAGAAAAAATGTCTTAGAATAATATATGACATGCATAGTACCGAATCATTAAGAGATGTTGATGTTTTCAGAACAAAGGGTTTCCTGACGCTGACTGGAATCTTTATCCTGGAATTATGTCTATTTGTTAAAAACAATACGCAATATTTTAATTTAAAATCTGATTCAAAGGAAAACATTCGCAATCAATATAAATATGATATAAGCTTACCTATTAGATGTGTAAATGTTCCGACACCTATGTATAATATTGATGGTCATCCTTTGGTAGAAGTGGACTCTGTTCGAGATCTGGGTGTGGTTCTGGACAAAAAGTTGCGGTTTCATAAGCACGTTGATGGAATTGTTACAAGGGGTCTTCAAATGTTGGGGTTCGTGTTGCGTAATTCTAAAGAATTTAAGAGGACCTCTACAAAAATTTCCTTGTTTAGGTCTGGTCTCCATTTTATGACCTTCACGTGAAACGCATAGAGCGTATCCAGAAGCTTTTTTTGTGGTATCTTGCGTACCAAACGCGCAAAATAAAGGATCTACCCTCATACGCAGACCGACTGACGTACCGTATTAAGTAACCTGCAATAGCGGAGGCTTTTGCTGGATTTCATGTTGCTACACAAAATCGTAAATAGAACCGTAGACTGTCCATACCTACTAAGTGCAATAAATTTCAAGGTACCTTTTAAGCTAGTGCGTGTCACCCGATACGTCCCCTTTTCAGTTGAAGGCAGTAAAACAAATTTGGGTCACCACGCCGCCATAAACAGGTTACAGAGGCAATATAACCAGCTCTGCAAGACATGTGACGTTGATATTTTTGCTGACAAGCCTCAAAAATTCAAACGAAAACTTATCCAGTCCTTTACTTTTAACTAACATTTAGACGTAGTTTTAAGTTCATAGTTGTAAGTTTTAAAAAACATATTCGTTGTCCACATTGCATGCCGTGGCAACCTTTAATTAAGACGACACTTAGATATAAACCTTCCTGTAATTTGTAGTATTTACATTGTGTTCGTGTACGTCTTGTTGGTTGTCCTAAATAAATTAAATTTTTTTTTACTTAAAAATATGATTTACTATAAAAGTATCTATATCACTGCTTTTCGTGTATACGTACAATCAGTTACCACCAGCTATTAAACAATTAAATGGAAATATGTTCAAAACAAAATGAAAGAAATTGTTAATTGAAAATGTTTTTTTTACAATCTCAAGGAGTTTTTTAATAAAATTAATGTTAGTAAGTAGTAAATTTCAAATTTATTTTCTTACTTGTTGCATATCCGACATGGGTAGACTGTTGGGCCTAAAACTATGTTTTTGTACTAAGATCATATTGTACACAGTTATGCAATAAATGTATCTTTATCTTTAAGCCGTTAAGTTGTCGGCTTGTCGGGTAGCGCTTGAGTTGAAAAGTCGGTTCCGGACGCTCTGTGTCACGCAGCGCTCTCTGATTGGCGGTCGCGCTCTGCCCACTGCTGGACGCGCGGGTGAAAAGCGAATTTGAAATCGTGCTTAGACCTCGTCTTAAACAATCATCCAGACCCACAGCGCCGCTACCTAACGCTTAGGCACTGCGCAACTGGGCCATTAAATAATTTTGAACAAGAACATTAAATTGTCGAATCGAGAAGCTCCCAATTTTTATAAATTGAATATACACAACATTTGTTCAAATTTTAAAATCACTCTAGTTTTCTATCGCCTACACGTTTGATAAATAAAAGCGTATAAAAGGTACGCAGAAATAGGGACCTATTAACGCCATGGGCAATGGAGCCATTATCCAAATTGAGGGTAGGTACGCCCCGTAATTAAATAAAACGGTCCCAGCCGCCCTACGTCTTAATTTGCCTTGGGAAGTAACGCAATGCTACAATTCAGTCTTGATTCTATTTAAGTTCGATTTTTAGTGTTCATTTAACAAGAATTACCCCTACCGCCAGTAATAGGATAATGCTAATTACACGACGAAATTTTCGAGTCTTTAATTTAGACTAATTTACTAAAATTTAATGGAATTCATTTAAGTATTCAAATATCGTTTACTTATATAAAATTAATTATTATATTATAAGCGAAGTACAAGGCGGCCTCCAACTAGATACAGTGACGACCTGGAATGAGGTGCAGTAGAAATCGATGGATGCTCAGGATCGTACTAAGTATGGAATTTGACAGCAAATGTCAAATTTTGCGGATGGCGCGCATTTAGCCATAGCCTGCTAAGGGAATTCTTTCTTGCGCGAAAAAGACTTCACCCACTTAAACTTAAACCACTCTTTTTTGGCCTGAGAAGAGCCCGAGACTATCAATATCCTACGTTTTGTGATAAAACGATTTATGTTTTGAAGTTATGTCATCATGAATGTTATCAATGGTTAAGATACTAGTATTATAATAAAGAAATGCAAATATAATGGGTGCGTTTGGCAGAAAAAAGCGCTAGCAAGCGCTTACAAGCGCTGAAATAGTTTTCGGCCAGGACACGATTGCTACTTCAGTAGCGCTGACACAATCCGCCATTTTGCTTATTTAATTTGTTTGTTTTGAAGTAGAGTTTATAAGTTGTTTTGTGCAATATTTTAGTTTTAAGTAATATAATGACTGAATAAACATATACATGTTATTAAAAATTCATGATTGGTAAGTTTTTAATATGAATACTTTACAAACATATGTTTAAATTAGGTTAAGTTCCCCGGTTAAAACTGACATCGTGTCCTGGAGGAAAATAGCTGCTTACGATTTGACAGCGCTTACCGCTTACGATCGCCATTTTGCTTACAAGCGCTTGCTAGCGCTTTTTTCTGCCAAACGCACCCAATGTTACGCGCTCCAGTCAACGATACACTAGCGCCATCTAGTGTCAGGAACGAGAGCGAGGGGAGCATTGAGAAAATGACATCACAAATTACTCAACCGACAGCGCCTAGTCGAAACTCGAACGCTCGGTACCTTGCCCGTGTTTACTTGAACATTCTGGATGTTTCCTTGCTAATTTAAATATATAGGCGCTGCAAGATGCGATCGGAGTAGTGTTGATTTGGCGAAACAAGCGAAGCTTCGGAGTGGAATTAAGTGAATTAGTGTGTTTAAATTATTAGTGTTTTAACTTTAATTGTGTAAAGTAAATTAAAGTGTTAATTTAGGTAATTTTATCGGCAATTTTTATTGTCACGAACCTCAAGCTCGTAACAATAATAATAATTATTTTTAATATCTTGTTTCGCTCTACGCTATTGTCGCTGTAGTGATTGAGAAATGTACTTTTGTAAATGTAACTATGTGATAA